AACCACAGCAATATTGTTGCCTGAACAAGATCAGTATAATGGCAACGCCAGATGGGATGGTAACATGGACGGCAGAAATTCTGCATGATTTCACTCCTAGATGAAGAGCTACAGGAAGTCAATGGTTGATTTGAGAGAGAATCAGTTTCTTTCCAGGAAGGACTCTTATAAGTTGTTCAATTGCAAGTGGTCAATTTTGGGCACATGTACATATGAGCAATGCTAAATGGTCTCAGTTTAATATATATATATATATATATATATATCTCCTATATATTGTATGTTATGTTAATTACTATATCAATCAATATCCCTTTTGTTTACTGCTGGATTCCAAGTGCGGAGAACCAAGCTTTGTTCCTCTCCAAGTAAGATGGCATTGGATCTTACCATCAAATTTACAGCCTCATTCCTATCTGTCAACAGTCTTTTGGCTCTCAAATTTCATAGCACTATCTCTCTTATCTAAATTACTGTTTATTTTATATAATCCTATACTCTTTTAATACTTCCACAGATGATTGTATTACTTACATTTATATTTGCATATTTGTGTCTGAAAAAGTTATATTCTTGACTATGAAAATATTTATCTGTATAATTAATTCAGTGTCTAGCTTTTTATAAATAGCTACAGTTTGCTGAATTTAGTTGAGTAGCATGTATGCCCCCAATATAACCACAATTAATACAATTTTGCTATAGAAACAATTTTTAATTCTGTACCTATTGCATTTTAATCAGTAGTACTAAACATTTCACTCACAGCAAAAAAAAATATGTCATTTTCTTCTCTACATACGTAATAGTGTAACTGAGATTCTGAAAAGATTGGTACTAAGACACAGAATTAGATTTGACATTTTTTGTTGTCTTCAAACTTTTGTGATTTATTTACTATTAAATGACATTAAGCCCAGCTCAAATGGCTAATAAATGCAGAAGAAATGAAGAATGTACTCTTTGGTCCCTTGCCCTCATGTGCCTTATGAAGTGAGCCTAAGAATGACTCATGGATCTTCACCCTTGCTGTGCTCTGGGCAGTACTTGTCTACACCAGTGTGAGCATCATCAACCTCTAGGCCCCAAGATCAAACTGCCATGTTTCATTGAACTTTGGGTAATGGAAACTGCTACTTTTTTCTTTATTGTAACTTAGTTGTTCAGTTAAAGGTGATAGTAGACAAAAGCTAGTACTACCAATGAAGTTTAGAGTTTGGTTTGTAAATATATAATATGGGGCATTTATCTGTAACCCATCTATGTAATTGAACTAGAGATAACAGAAGCCAAAGCCTCTTTGATCTGAAATGAGAGAGAGAGAGAGAGAGAGAGAGAAGAAGAAGAAGAAGGAGGAGGAGGAGGAGGAATGAAGGAAGGAAGGAAGGAAGGAAGGAAGGAAGGAAGGAGAAGGAGGAGGAGGAGGAGGAGAAGGAGGAGAAGATGGAAGAAGGAGAAGGAGAAGGAGAAGGAGAAGGAGAAGAGACTCAAATGTGCCTGCATGTTTCTTTCCAGATCTTGTTTGATCTAATCAGGATTCCATTCTGTAGCTGGAAACAGAAAAATGATCCATTCGTGAAGATGACAACCTAGAGAAGATCTTGAATTGATCCCAGGTATCAGAGCAAGACCTGGGAAGGGAAAGCCTCAGGAGAAGGCAGGATCTTCTAAGCCCTATTGTTTTTCATTGCCACCAACTTTTGAGAGTGATTGAGGCCCATGGTGACTGGTGGTTGGTTCCTGTGGGTTGTTATTACTTGAAAGATTCTAGTGGTTGGAGTTTCAAATCATCTAAGAAATTTATGTCCCAATATTGGACTAGTCATGCTAATACAGCTAGTCCTGAAATGAAAGTGGGTTGAATGTTTCAATGTCATAATTTCCCAAGGCTTACAAAGTCATGCTCTTTGTTGCATGTTTTGACCTGTCTTTACTAGTAAACGTAGCTCATCAGACTGGAAGCTGCTGCAAATACAAAATCACACTGAGATCAAATGATACTTAAATTATTTCATGCAATATGTTTTACTAGTAGTGAACTGTTTCATATTTCAAACAAATGAAATCCAGATACTAAATGATCCAGAAAAAAAAGTAGACATAGCTTTTCAGTAAAACCATTAAATCCTTCTTTTTATTTCTTCATATTATCATTTTCATTCTCTAGCCTTATTTATGGAGTTATTTTAATATTGTGAGACTAACATATATTATTTACCAACATATATAACTGATGGCATCTAGAGGGGATATCTACTTCATTTACTCATTCTCTCATCCATTATGTGAATAAATGTGTATTTGAACATAGGATATATCATAGAGCCATATAGTAGGGTTTCGATATGTCTGATAAATGTGCTTTGGAGATGTGAAAAAAAAATCCCCAAGTTTCTGAGGTTAATTTAAAGGAAGTGGGAGGAGATGCTTATGGGCAGTTTTTGTTTATATTTAGAATCTACTTCTATGCTGACGTCAATATTTTTTGTTTTTATCCTGACATTTTTCCCTTTTAAAATCCTGTCCATATTTCCCATATTGCTTTATTTAAAGTCTCCTTTTCATTCCTGGTACTGCAATAATAATCAGATGCACTTATGAGATTTAAAAATATTTTATTTATCAACCATCCAACAAATATTTAACAAATACTCAGGGGCAGACACCACCCAATGGCTGAGTAAAGCAGGCAGAAAACCATTGGCAGAGTCAGTAATACAATTCAATGTGTGATGTAGCGATTCAAACCACAGGGAAAGGTGGAGAATTTTCTAGGAAGGGAGACAGGGCCATTGAGTTGAAGGGACAATACTTGTGCTAAGGGCTAAAGGTTAGACAAGCAGCCAGGCAGAAGAAAAATAATGTGCAGATATATAAAAACAGTAAGTTAAGTGCTCAGGGAACTGCACAGCCATCTGGTTGTCTGGAACCTGGTGTGAGTTGTGAATGTGTCATTGGGGCAGGAAGAGTCTAAGGCACTGAGAGGAAAGCTACTGTGGGGAGTTTTCATGTCTCACAAGAGTCTGGACTTTAGTTCATCCATGGCCAGAAAGAAAATGCGAGGTATTTCAAGAAAGGATGCGAACTTTACTGGGTCCAGTGTATGACTATATAGAACCATGATACATTCAGAAAGAGGCTGACATCATGCCTGCTGCTCCTTGTGCTTCCTTGGGCAATAGTGTTGCTCTGGAAATTCTGGGACAGTAAGGCAGTGATGTGAAAATCCATTCTTTAGTTAGCACTTTCACTGATGAACACAAGCCACACAAGGTGATGGGCAGAGCTCATCTCTTAGAAGGTTGGATGGGAAGAATTTCCTATAGCTAAAGGCATTTCTCTCTTTCTGTGGAATGCATGCTCTACTGAGTCTGAAAACTAACAAGTGTAGCTGTGGTCAGATGTCAGCTGAGAAGGGCCTTTCCCACCACATTGCAAAATCAGCTCTTGATGGCTCAGGAGAAAATATCCCAGGCAGTCTGTTGTCTTCTGTCTCCACGGCCTCTGCATAGCACCAAATGAGTCATGAAGGAGACACTGACAGAAACTGCAAACAACAGAAGCGAAGCAGGAGTTGGCTGTGGGCACCAAAAGGAGGAAGCAGCAAGGTAAGTATTGACCAAAGGAAGGAGGAAAAAGAGGGGCAAGGAAAACCACCCAAGAGCAGGAGAGGATGCTGGAACACACATGGCTCACTGAAGTCTGAGATCAGTCTGGATTCTGCTGAAGTCCTTGAACTCACTTGATTACAGTACTTCCCACTTGCCGGGTCATTCTTTTCTGGTGATTTCAGGAAGATCTCAGTGTGCTCCAATTGAACAGGGTCTTAGTCTCGTATTTCTGCAGTTTCTGCCGTCTTGCTACAGTGATCAAGTCAATCTGAAATAGATCCATTTGGTCTTGAAAAAAAGCATCATAAAAATAGCTTTTTAAAGAAAGCTGTAAAACTTGTATTTTTTTTTTCCTCAGATTTGCCTAATTCACCCTGTCTTACTGCAAACAAATGCATTCATATCCTAGTGTTGAGTCTAACAACTAGTATTCTACAGAGTTCCATTTTCCATTATTCAATGGGCTAAGTTTACTTCAGTTAACTAACAGATGAGAATCAAACCCACATTCCCAACTGCAGGGTCACCTTAAGATATACGAAGGGACGGTTCTCAGGCCTGCCCTAGCCCCATGTCCTACCTAGCTCAGTAAGGACGCCCAGGGAACCCTAGGGAGGCGTCAAACACAGGCACTTTACTCTTCTGGTCTGGAGATATATGCTCTTCAACCCAACATGAGGTTACATCCGAATCACAAAATCACCCTAAAATGAAATGCATCAAGACATGTAACCAACCAAAGATTACAGCTCACTCTGTTGTGTGTTAGCAGGCATCTGGGCAATGTGACCTAAGACAAAGCTTACTTAATGTTTTCAAAACATCTTTTGTAATTGCTTTGTTTTTGCCTTTACAAACCTCCTTGTGGAAGGAGGCATAGGGAAGCCGATCTTCAGCGGGGACTGTAGAAAAGAGGGAAGCCAGTGTTCTCACGTGCTGCTGCACAGCGAGGTAATGGTGACAACGCGGTACACATCTCAAAAAGGAATGTTAACTGCTCAAAGAGATCACTACGTTAACTCAATCTAAACCATACATCGTATGATGTATACAGTTTGTATGAATGCGTGGAAACATCCATCACTCCATTAATATCTACAGTATTAATATCACGTATGGGCTGAAAAATTTTAAGTTAAAAAAAATTCCATTTGCATCAACTTCTTTGAATAAGCTAATAGCTCACTGTGGCAGGAGCTGGCATATTCCTGTTGTAACACTCTGTTATTGCCCAGTAAAAGTCAGTGTTTAGAGAATCCGCAAATGGTTTTCATTTTTGTCTGACTATCTGGCAGGAAACTTTGAACTTGGCTCTCACAGATTCTGTTTTTGTTTCCTGGAAACTGTGCAAATCTAGAAAGCAAGCAATAACAAGTCAATTTAGTTTCAATTTCAGTTCTTCATCACCACAAGAGGATGGGTGCAATATCCTGTTTGGCTCTAATTTTTTTTTAAGAATAGATCTTGAGGGAGGAACCAGGCGCAGCAGCAAACCTAAAGGTTCTGAGTCAGGGTAAGCAGAGAATCATCCGGCGGCGCAGTCAGGTGAGTTCCCTGCGACTCGGTATTCAATGTACATATTCCCAAGGGGCTGCCTGCAAAGTTCCGAGGTCCCAGGGTGCAAACTCGACGCAGAGTGCAAGGTGACACTGGAGGGTGGGCGAAGGTGATGAGAGGCGCTCCACGCTGCTTGGCGCGGGAGACACAGTGGATCAGCCATAGCCAGGCATGTGGGGGAGGGATGCACGGTTCCAAAGGGAATATCAGACCGAGCTGCGGGCTGCTGCGAGCTGCGCAATCCTGCGCAGGTCTACCGCGGGGCTCCCACCATAGGGGGGCGAATTCCCTTCTATTACCGAGAGACTTAACACTAGGCTCCAGGCAGGGCTTCTTCCTCACCCACCGCAATGCTTAGTTGCACCCTCCCTGAGTGCCGCCTGAAATTGAAGAAACAGAAAATAGAGCCATGTCATGTCATGTCAAACAGACTGAATCCCCAACGCGGGTTTGGTGCATCTCTGTGATGCCAGCTGCACTTTTGCGCCCTGTGGTGTGGAATCAGTCACACTCTTCACAGTCAAAGGTTAAAAACAGCAGTAAAATTCGACCCCCTTGTCTTGTTTCAACGGTGTCATCCATCCAAGAACAGTTTCAGACAGCTTTGGGGACTTGTGAAAAATCTAGGGCTGAAGCGTTTTTAACTGTCTTCTGTGTGGCTCAAGGTACTTTTGGAAACGGTGGACGATTTACATGATCCAATCGGAGCTATGTAGTTCTACTTATTTAGTGTGAATTTGAAGCTTGTATTTGGAATAGTAATTCAGTCCTGAATGAAAGTAGGGAGACACGTGATCATTGAAAGACCCAGACACAGTTCCCTCAGAAACCCAAAAGAGCTGAGGGAAGAGATATCTTAAAAGTGAGTCAGTTCACCCTTCCTGGAGAGGGTTAAGTCAGGTGTTTTCAAAAGAACAAAGTCAGGATGCCTGGTGGTATTTTTAACCATGAGATGCCCCTCTCCGGAGATAACATGACCAGACCCCAGAGATGAGTTGTAAAACTCCTGACAGGGCAAACAGATAAGCTAAAATAAGACAAAGGCCAGGCCCGGGAAAAACTGGGAACCCCCTCCCCCTCTAAGAAATTTTACCAGTTTTGCCTATAAAAACTAACTTCCCCAAGAAAGAGTAACTCCTCCCTGCCTCACTGCGCTGAGGCCAGTGAGTGCTTGAGATGAGTTCCATGTCTCGCAACTTGTAACAAAAATAAACCTTGCTTTTGCATTCTTGTATGCTAGTTCTTGGTGGTCTCTCTGGGGGTCACGATCTGGGCACAACACTCATCAATATTTTTCTAATATAGATCATTAAGGTAATGTTAAATTTAAGGTGAGCTGAAATTTCTCATTTGACATCTACTCTAAATTGATGTTAGGCAAAGAAATACTCTATAGTTTTTAAGTTGATACCCCAAGACAAACAGCACTCAGTCAAATTGTACTTTATATCGTAATGACATGTCACTAATCAATAGAGACATTTGGTACTTCTCGATTAAGAAATTTATTAGTTTAGAAATCTGAATTGGGGAAGTTGATTCTGACAGGGAAATTTTGGAGGTAGGCTTTATAAAAGGGAGATGAGAAGATTGGTGTTTCTTCCCTGCTCCACTGAGTAACTTGCAGGCTTTCTAAACATTCATTCAGCATGTCAACTTGCTTACCTGCTTGCCACACCTTGTGGTCTTGGAGTATAAAATATGAATGCAAGCTAGACTCCAGACAGAAGCCTTCAGGACCATTCTGGCTTTGGTTCACTGGTAAATGAATATGTCTCCTTTCTTCCACTCTCATTGGTTTTGGAATGCTTATTCCAGAGAGATTCCTGAGACATTGTTACCCAAACACAACCACAACAAAGATAAAATAACCCCAAAACCAAAACTTAAATTGATGCACACATTGTAGAAATACACGCTAATTGCCCTGGTACTAGAGGTGGCTTGGAGATCTCATACTCTACTGAGAAAGTTTTTTGGGTCTGCAGGTTAGCATGGCATCTGGTACCAGCATGGAGGCTCCCATCTGTCTAGTGGAAAATGAGAATGAAGAGCTGAAGGTGAATCCCAAAGCAGTAAAAATCCTTGAGGAGATTACTCAGCCTGTGGTGGTGGTGGCCATTGTGGGACTGTACCGTACAGGGAAGTCCTACCTGATGAACCGCTTGGCAGGACAGAACCACGGTGAGTGTTGTCCTCAACCAGAAGGACCAAGGCCATTTGCTTGGAATCATTGACAATGCACACTGATTGTTCTCAGATCAGTTACCACCATGTTCTCATTTCTCTCATCTTAGTTTTGCTATGGAGTCAATGCAAACGCGATTCACTGTATATTGTTTATTAAAATAATGGAGATGGGATGGTGGGAGGAAGCAAGAAAAGGAAGGGGGAAGGAAGGGTGGGTAATTAGGCTTTGAAAACTTTACTCTGTGAGGCAGGGAAAGAAAGGGAAGGAGGAGAGAGCAATAGAAGGAGAGAGGGAGGGAGAAAGAAAGGGAGGAAAAAGGAGAGGGGGAGGATTTGAGTTTATGTCATATCCTATTTGAGTTATCTTTTTAATTTTTCTGCCCTATTTTATCACATTTTAATAACTATATACGTGTTTCTCTCCTAAGCCTTTTCAAATATTTGAAATCTAACACACACACACGCAAAAAAAATTACATAAAACATAGTGTATCAGTGTATGGCATAATTAATAAAAATACTTATTTCTGCCGGGCGGTGGTGGCGCACGCCTTTAATCCCAGCACTCGGGAGGCAGAGCCAGGCGGATCTCTGTGAGTTCGAGGCCAGCCTGGTCTACCAAGTGAGTTCCAGGAAAGGCGCAAAGCTACACAGAGAAACCCTGTCTCGAAAAACCAAAAAAAAAAAAAAAAAAAAAATACTTATTTCTTTACTGACCAGGTCAAAATATAAAACTTTGTTAGCATCCAAATACTTTATTCATATCATCTTATGCACTCCCAAAGTTCATCATTTTTCTTATTTTCATGAAACTTCCCCCACTGATTTACAAAAAACAGTTATAGAATCTAAACATGCATCTATAAAAATCAGTTCACTTTGGCCCACTTTTAAACTTCTTAATGAGTATACTTACACATATTTATATAAAGCATATATGTCTATTTTAATGTATTGGATACATGTGTTGGATGTATTCTGATGTCTCTAGTTTCTTTTGCTCACAAATTTATAAAATTCATCTAGTTTGTCATAAATATTATTAAATTACTTAAAAAGTTTCATAGTATGTCAATATGTGAAAATAACATTTGTTGTAGTGAACACTGATTTCTTTGCAGAACTAATTTTGGAGGACAAGGCTTTCCCACACAAGCTTGTCTTTATGTTGGAACATTTTTGCACAAACTTCTCTTAGTATAACATAAACAGAAGTGAATCTAGATTTCAGGAGGTTTGCATGCTCAGTGTTTCCTGATGACATGAAATTACTTTTCAAGTTTCATGTGTTGCTGTAGTTCACATGTTTATTAACAGCAGTAGAGAATTCTGCAACTTCTTTACAAAAGTTCCGTCTGATTTTAGTTTTTGCTAATGTGGTGAGTTTGGCTCTGTGCCAATAGCTTATAGACAAGGTGAGGCAGCTCTTAACATCTTGCAGTTTGCCTGTCTTATTTTGTAAAATGTATGCTTAAGTCTTTTAAAACCTAGTCATTCAATCTGCTCTGGTCCCTTTTCCTCCTCCTATAAAGAACATGCAGTGGCTATTTTCCTCCTAATATCTTGTATCTGAATCAGCTCAGTGCCATTGTGGGTAGAACCTGTGCCTCCTATATTCTAAGGATTCATGTATGTGCTCACTTTCTTATTCCCTGTTGCAGGCTTCAATCTGGGCTCTACAGTGAGGTCTGAGACTAAGGGCATCTGGATGTGGTGTGTGCCTCACCCCACCAAGCCACAATTCAAACTCGTGCTTCTGGATACAGAAGGTCTAGGTGATGTGGAAAAGGTAAGTCAGAGAGTTATGGGGGCTGGTCTTGATTCTGTGTGTACCATTTGATTGCAGTTTTAGTTCAACTTCTGTGCTGGTTGCAAGAATTGCAAACAAGTTATTGATGAGATTCTAAGCTGCTTTCCTTGGGGAATGTACTCTTTTGATAAACTCAAATACTTTGTTGTAATGGAGGATAGTCCTATCTTTGGTCTTCTTTGAGTAATAAAGTTCAGTAAATATGTATTGAGGAGCTGAATCCTAGGGTTTCATACTATACTGCAGTGCAAGGTACAGGCTCATTAGCCCAGGAGGAAGCAGATATACACTGTGAGATCAGTACAAGGTGCTGTAGGTCCATAGAAGTAGACAGCTAATGAAGTTATCTGATGGGATAATGCTTCCTGAAGGTGAGCTGTAACCTTTGAGGCCATTGAACTTTGAATCTAACTTGTAAGTAGTAGAAATAGCCTTGGGTGTCTATTACTGTGGATGTAGGGGTAAAGATTTCATTATGGGTTATAAAATTCTCAGTAACCAACCCCATATTAAACCAAGATGAATTCTTGTAGAAGCAAGTTGTTGTCTGACCTAAGCTTTGCTTCTATTGACCCAAATTCAGCATTTTTAGGAATGTCAAAATAGAGAATTGAAAAGAAGTCATCCCCAGAATATCAAAGATTTCCTGCCTGCTACATCAGGTCTAATAAGAACCAAGTCCATATGCTGCACATGCGCAATGGAGAGACAACATAGCATACCCTGATGATAGAAAACAACCCAGCGACTCTGGAGTTTGTAGGTTTGGGAAGCATCTAATTCTGTTTGCCTGACTTTCACACATCACATCTTACCTCAAAGCTTACTTCCAGTTTCAACTTCCAACTTCCAAATGGCCACTGCTTCAGCCAAACAAAGAGGTGTGCAAGGCACTTACATGACCTGTGTTTTATAATATTTTTTTTATTTACTGAGTATTTATATTCCCACATGTGTAATTTATTTAAATCTATAACTACATCTACTAGCAAGTATTTAAAGAGAAGCTGTTTTTCTACCATAGCCATCATATTCTAGTTACACAGTCACATTATTTTGAAGTTACATAGCCCTTCTTGCACTTATTAAAATTAATCATTTTTCTTCATATACTAGAATTCTATTCTACTTTTGGTACAGATGGATCATCATGGTTGTATTTCTATATTTACAGGTCTGCCTATCCCTATTGTCATATGAAAATTTGCATTCACACAGCTCAATGTAGTATCTGATATTTTTAGATGTTTTATGAATAGTTATTGAATTTGAGTGAACATTCTTGCCTCTAATATGACATAATTGATAACCTGTTAATTAAATGGCATGTCGATATATTGCATACACTGTGCTTAATCATTATAGCAAAAATTTTGCATAGTGTGACAGTGTCATTGATTTTGGTTATGGAAACTGGTAAGATCAGTTTCAATATTGAAAAGGAAATAAGACTTTTTTATTCTTCAAAACATTATTCTTCATTCTACTCTTCTGCTGTATATCTGCTTAAGCAGCAGATAAACAAGTGAAAGACTGGAGGTTAGATTCTGAAGTCTCTTGTCCCCATGTGACTTCCAGGGTGACTCTAAGAATGACTCTTGGATCTTTGCCCTGGCCGTGCTTCTGAGCAGCACCTTTGTCTACAACAGCATGAGCACCATCAACCACCAGGCCCTGGAGCAGCTGCAGTATCCTTCCCGGGACATAACTGTTGTGTTTCACTAATCTAAGGGTGACAACTGGGAATAGTGCTTGTGTGACTCAGTTCTTAGGACTTAGGAAAAGGGTATGTGGAACAAAAGAGGGTGCTTGTAAGATGGGTGTGTAGGAGAAACCTGGGGAAGGTAGAATGCCGCCTTTTATTCCTTACCTAAGATCCCAGCTATGTCACTGAACTGACAGAGCTGATCAGGGCAAAATCCAGGTCAGGGTCTGAAGAAATGGATGACTCCTGTGAGTTCGTGAGTTTCTTTCCAGACTTTGTCTGGGCTGTTCGGGATTTCGTTCTGGAGCTGAAGTTGGATGGACGCGTCATCACAGCAGATGAGTACCTGGAGAATGCCCTGAAGCTGATTCCAGGTATCAGAGCCTGGCTTGGGAGGGAAGGCTATAATTGTCTCATTCAGTATTTGGCATAAATGTTGATTTTACCCTAACTTGAACTCTAATTCAGTGATAAACTGATAACTAAAATGTGATTGGTGAACATTTTCCATGGTTATTAACCTGGAAAATTTTCACCTGCTGTAGTTTAAATGCAATGGAAACAATGAGGCATAAACATTGGACCAAATGATCTTAAATCAATTAATAGTGAAAATGTGATTTGGATGGTAATACATTCTTATATTTTTGGTTGTGAGCCTAGCCTTTAACGGCTGAGCCATCTCTCCAGCCCTGGATGGTAATACATTCTATAATGTCCATACCCGACACGTTTTGCTCCTTATAAAGGATTTCTGTTCTCTCTCTCTCTCTCTCTCTCTCTCTCTCTCTCTCTCTCTCTCTCTCTCCACACACACACACACATTATAGATTATATGTAGATATATATTTTAGTTTAACCTTAAAAATATATATCCTAACCATATATATACTATATATATACATATATACATATACATATACATATACATATACATATATATATATATAGAGAGAGAGAGTATACACAGAGCACATAAAATCACATGAAATGAAGTGATCTACCCCAAATTGTAATTCTTTTGTACAGTATATCTTGTTAGTATTTGGCTACTTAAGATTTTTCAGATAAAGTATATATTTTGAATAATTAAGAAAAAACATTGGTATTTTCTTTCAATAAGACTCAAATCTTTTGTGTTTCTTATAACGTCCTCCTCTTCTCTTGACAGCCTCACAGTTAATATATTTGGCATTACATATATATATATGAATATACAATATTTAGCCGTTGAGAGAGGTTTCATTGTAATTTTATTCATTCCTTCCTTTTTTCTCTCAACTTGCAGAGAATTACTCTAATTCTCAGTCAAGACTAACAGATTCTGATTTAGGAAAGAGAAGAGGTCCTTACATTATATGAAGTGAATATTACTCATCATAATTGTCAAGGCAAAGAATTTCTTAATGTATTTATGGTTATGTCTACAGGAAGCTGATATTTGTGTTTTTCTGTCCTGACCTGATATTATATGTCATCTTTCATTTTTCCAGGTTGCGTATTATTGTTTACTGCATCACTTTGGTTTAAGATCCAAATTTCATTTCTCACAAGGATATAGGAAAGTCAGAAAACTTCTTCTAACACCTTGGTTTCATTAGTTAATTGTCTAGTAAATGTTTATTAAATTCTTAATCCACTGGGGTCTGGAGCAAATGCTAGGAAGACCAAAGACTAGTTGCCCTGATCCCATGGATAACTGGTCCTTTTTATCTTCATAATTGCTTTATTGCCCTTCACTTTTCAGCATAAATGGATTTATCACTGTCTTAGATGCTCAAATGAAGAGCCATGTGGGTGGATTACAGGAGATTTAGGGATAGAAGAAGAGCTGTGATCCCAAGCTCTCTGGAAATGAAAACGCCAGGTTCTTAGCCTGAAGGCTGTCCTTTCAAAGAACAAATTTCTTTTATATATTTTACAGGCAGAGGCCTGAAAGCTCAACGTTCTAACATGCCTAGGGAATGCATCAGGCATTTCTTTCCAAAACGGAAGTGTTTTGTTTTTGATCGACCTACAAAAGAAACTGAACTCTTAGTCTGTGTTGAGGGAATACCAGAAAACCAGCTGGATCAAAATTTCCAATTGCAATCAAAAGCATTCTGCTCTCACATCTTCTCCAATGCAAAGGCCAAGACCTTGAAAGAGGGAATCATTGTCAATGGAAACCGTGAGTTACCTATGCCCTAGGGAATATCTCTCGACTTTGAAATTGTGTGTTGTAAAACATTAGTATCTCATATGAATATAGAGAAACAGCTGTTCATGCTACTTGGAAAATTTTGCCTTTCTTAAATATTACCTCTCTACATAGGCTTTATTAAAACCTAATACATCTTAAGAAATGACTAATGATCAAAGAAGCAAGACTGAGGTTAAAGAGGGAATACCTGTGTCTGAAGTAATGTGCAAGGACACAAGTGCTTGTCTGGTTAGAAAAGACAGTTCTAAAGTATGTGAGAGACCAAGGTTCCTAAAAGTTCATTAGAGTTTTGAGATAAAATTCACTGTGTTTGGACTCAGGAGATGGTTCAGTCAGTGAAGTGCTTAGCTTGCAAGCAAGAGTTCAATGCCCAGAATCCACCTGAAAGTGTTTACGGTGGTGGTGCACACCTGTAACTGGTGAAGTAGAGGCAGGCAGACATTGGGGCTTGCTGCCCAGACAGTCTGGCCTACTTCCAGCCAGTGAGAGACTTTGTCTCAGTGAAATATAAAATTAAAATGGGGCAACAATGGTTGTCATTTGGCTTCTACACACACACACACACACACACACACACACACACACACACACACACACACACAAATACATGCAACCATACACACACACAACTCCCAACACAAATTAACTATTGTTTTATGCACATGTCCTTCAATGAAATGGCTTTGTACGGTCACATGAAGCCCATACTCAAAAGAGCTGCTCCTCTCACATAATGTTCTGTTATTGTCTTGAAATTCTTGAATGCTTTTTTTTTTTTAAAAAAACATTATCACTTTCAGTTGAGGCAGGGTCCAACAAAATAGGCTTTCCTCTCATACATGAAATTTTATTGCCTAAGTAATTTAATACTTCATTGCTGATTCATGAATCATGTGAAATTAACAAAAGTTAGCTCGATATTTAACCTTAAATTCCCTGCCTTGGTCAGGACTGGCAACTCTGGTGACGACCTATGTGAATTCCATCAATAGTGGAGCAGTTCCTTGTTTGGAGAATGCAGTGACCACTCTGGCAGAGCGTGAGAACTCCATAGCTGTGCAGAGGGCGGTTGACCACTACAGTGAGCAGATGGCCCAGCGAGTGAGGCTCCCCACAGACACGCTCCAGGAGCTGCTGGATGTGCACACAGCCTGCGAGAAGGAAGCCATTGCTGTCTTCATGGAGCACTCCTTCAAGGATGATGATCAGAAATTCCAGAAGAACTTGGTGGTACTGTGTTTTGTCTTTTTTTTTTTTTTTGTTGTTGTTGTTATTGTTCTTGATACCCACATTTAGGAGTGTTGATTAATGGCTGCTATTTTGACCTTTTCATTTATCTGGATTCTTGTGAGTGAGAGGGTTCCACAGGATCAAAAGTGAGGGATTTGATTATTTTTTTCATCAGTGCACAAGAATGTTCAATGAATGTGTCAACACGGAAAAGCACATATGCATTAACTCAGTTTTGTAGATTATAAGCATAGTGCAGGGAGGCTGGAGTGCTCTGCTCAGGAGACTGAAGGAAGATGTAAACTGAGTTCAGTTCTCACCTGAAAGCATTGGAAAGCCTCATGAATCAAGCAGGAGAATCCCTTGGACTGTAATTTATAATTATTGTATGTCCACACACCCGTATTCTCCATGGAGGGGATGAAGGGCTCATGAACCTATACAAAGTTCCAGTCGCTGTGTGAGTTGTTCTTTTACAGATGCATTTTCCTCCATATTAATTCTTGGGGGAAATGCTCCTGCCAACCATGTCCCATTTTTCAGCTGGTGAATTGTTCGCTGTTTATCTCATTGCTGCTGGAAGAGCCAAAGGTCCTGCAGCTAGACTTTATTATTTCACAATGAGCCTGGCCACTGGAAGGGCATGGAATTACCATGGTTACTCATACAGTTGCTCAGACATGGTACTGAACAGAGTTTCCTGATTTATGGTGTAATTTCCCTATCCATGTCTATTATTTCCCCCAAGATCACAGCTGGATCCATTTTCTAACAGATTCCATTTCTTATATCTCTACAATCCCTTTGTAGACCACTATAGAGGAAAGGAAGGAAGCTTTCATGCAACAGAACGAAGCAGAATCTCTCAGTCTCTGCCAGGCTGAGCTGGAGAAGCTGGCAGAGCCCCTGAGGGAGAGCGTCTCACGTGGAGCTTTCTCTGTTCCTGGTGGCCACAGCCTCTACTTAGAAGCCAGGAAGAAGGTTGAGCAGGGCTATGAGCAAGTGCCCAGGAAGGGGGTGAAGGTAAGGAATGAGCAACAGGGAGGTGGGTCTCAGGGTTACCAGGAAGAATCCTTCCTCCTTAGAATTGAACTGTTCATGAGGAGATGGCTGAACATGTCTATCTGTGCATTTCCACCTTTTTTGTATCCAGAGTTATTATTTTTATGTATTTATTTAAAAATTTCATTGTATATATATATACCATTTTTATACAGTACATGGTATTGTTATATTAAGACATTTTCATACACACACACACATATATGATATGATGAGAATATCCCCCATATCTCTCTATCCTCTTTTTCAATGAAGTCATAAAATTAGTCTTTCCCTTATAATCCTCTAATCCTAACAAGAGTTTAGTAACTTTTTCCATTGATTAAGCAAGGCAATTTTTTTCTAAACTAAATAGTGAGATTTGGAGATCAAAGACATATTTGTCCATGAGATACTGATGCTCTTGCCTCACAGATAGTCAGTTGGATACATTGGAGTAAGAACTATCCTGGCACAAACAGAAAGCAGAAATAACGGTGCAATTACTATCATGGTGGTTGCGATAATAATGATGTTCACATAGCCAACACACTCTTTTTAGGTTTTATTTCCCTTTGTATTGTTTTGAAATGGATTCTTGGTATAACAAGGCCAGACTGTCACTGAACTTGCAATCCGGCAACCTTAGCTTCCCCAGTGCTGGGATTATAGACATGAGCCACCATGCCCAGATTTTAATACCTTCCGTTATATGACAGATACCACCAGTAACTTGAAAGTGCATGCCACTTTGGAAGCTACAATTCAATCTTCAGAATAAGGGTATAATAAGGTACTACTGTTGTGCACATTTAAGAGTTGTGAAATGGGATGACTGAGATGCTGATGCATGGTCAGGCCACAGAAGAACAGGTAGGGCAGCTCCGTGTATTTAGCAGCCATGCAAACTTCAGAAGACAGCGCAGTGAAGCTTCCTCTGAAGAAAGATGCAGAGCAAAGATGGATTATCAATGGGTGCCTACCCGGATAATAAAAGCACAGCAAGGATTCTAGCAGACAGGAAGTGTGTGAGTGTATTAAACAATGGAGAGGGCAGTTTTGAGGATCTGCAGTATCTACCTAGGTCTCCAGGGCCGTAACCTGGCCTGAGAAGTGGAACACTATCTGGAAGGAGAGACTTGGGAGAGGGCTGCCACATAAGGTTTTGAAAAATTACAGAAGAGATTTGAACTACTGCTGTGAAAAGGAAGGAAACAGGGGGTCTTAAGAAGGATGAGAAATTGTTCAGGACTTTAAGGGCAACAGTGTGTTTCTGTGACCTGAAAATTTTACTTTCTTGTTTCTCCAGGCAAAACATGTCCTTCAGAGCTTCCTACAGTCGCAGGTTACCATAGAGGACTCCATCTTGCAGTCAGACAAAGCCCTCACTGATGGACAGAAGGCCATGGAAGGTATATGGGAGGACTTGGCTCTCACAGGGATGGATAGGCTTCTGCTAAGCCTGCTGACTTACTGTCAGGAAGGTCTTCCTACATAGACTGCACACTCTGCTAATCCAAAATTAAGAGGGCGGGACGGTCCCACTCAGGCAGTGTTGCAAGTGCCTTCTAGCATCGTTCCAAAATACGCTCTGGAAATATGGGGAGTAGGATTCAGACTTCTCTCCTGCATCTCTCAAAATCAGCTATGTCCCTGAGCCCAGGAAAGGAGAGCTCTGTCCTGACTGCTGTGTTTTGCTTCTCTCAAACCCTCGTGGGACAGCTGAGCGGGCTCAGAAGGAGGCGGCGGAACAGGAGCAGGAGCTACTGAGACAGAAACAGGCAGAAATGCAACAAGTGATGGAAGCTCAAGAGAGAACCTACAAAGAAAACATGGCCCAGCTGCATGAGAAGATGGAGACTGAGAGGAAGAACCTTCTGAGAGAGCAAGAGGAGATGCTAGCACACAAGTTGAAGGTGAGACTCTGTGGGCCCCAGAACTGATCAGAGGGATAGTGTTCAGGTTCCTTGTCTGACATCCCAACTCTTGTGAATGGTGCTGAAGGAATCACAGGATACGGCTTGCTTGGGCCATTTCTCCTAATCCAGGAATCAGGCAAATTCCTCAGTGAACACGTTTTGGTAGAGTGCAAATGTCAAGCCCTGACCTTCAATACGCATGGTTTTCCAAGTGTATTTTTCTTTTTATAGATCCAAGAAGACATGCTTAAAGAGGGATTTAAAAGGGAATATGAAGCAATGGATTCAGAGATAAGCCAACTACAAAGGGAGATTCAAAAAAATAAGGGTCAGAATGACTCACTGGATGCTAAACTCCGTGAAGGGTTTGGAAATGTGTTACTTTCAGTATTGCCTGATGCTGGTAAGGTACTTAATCTAGGGATGAAAATGCTACAAAATAAAATGAAAAGGGCAATGATTCATTAGAAAACTATAAATATGGTATCTTTATTCCTGAGAATTATTTTTGAACTCTGTATCAATATTAACTTCATTTATTAAGTTTCAAACACCAAGAACATTGGTCACTCTCCACACTCTCTACACCAGTCCAGCCACAGACCCTTTGGTCTACAATGGTGTCCTGCCTGCAAAATATGCTGGTGCAATGTTGGCACAAAGTTTGTAGGAGTAACCAACCAATATCTGACTTGACTTAAGGTCCACTCCACAGCATGAAACCCAGATAACTGATACCGCTTGGGTGACTAAGAATCAGAGACTAGATAGCCCAGAGAACCTACAGTAAAACCAAGTATTACTATTCTATACCCTCCCAAAGGTAGCTATAAAATGACACCTAATGACATTCTGCTATACTCATAGATCAGTACCTTGCTCAGCCATCATCAGAGAAGCTTCCTCTTGCAGCAGATGGGAACAAATACAGAGACCCATTGCCAGAAATTATGCAGAGAGTGAGATCAGACTTTGGAACAGTTAGCCCTAAATGGGGTGTCTCCATCAAACCCATTTACTCAGGGCTCAGGAAAACTGTCAAAGACAAGGCAGAAAGAGTGTAAGAGTCAGAGGGGATGGAGGACATCAAGAAATCAAGGCCTCTTTGGGACTGGAGAGATGGCTCAAAGGTTGAGAGCACTGGCTGCTTTTCCAGAGCTGCTCTTCCAGAGGACCCTGGTTCAATTCCCAGGACCTACATGGCAGCTCTCAACTGTCTGTAACTCTGGTTCCATGGGATCAGACACACTCACATGGACATACATGCAAGCAAACACACCAATGCACATAAAAAATATTAAAAATTTTTAAAAAGAAAGAAAATAAGGCCCTCCAAATCAACAGAATCCATGCACATAGGAACTCATAGAGACTGAGGGGAGCATGCAGAGGGCCTGCACAGGTCTGCAACAGTTGGGATCCTAGAACGGAAAGAGAAGTGCAAACACGACCCCATCCCTAATCCAGAATCGACCTCCAATTGATAACCACTTACAAATGAAAATTTAGTTTTCTCCAAGGGAGTTTCATTGGGGAAACAAACTACTCCATCCTGTGGAGTGGACCTTAAGTCACTATCTGAGAGGGTGGATCTGGATGGCAGGCGAGGTGGGGAGAAATTCGGAGGAGTAGCAGGAAGGGAAATGGTGGTTAGAATTATGTGAGAAAAAAAAATCCTCTCTCAATAAAAGTAAAATAATTAAAAGCAATCCATTACACTTTTATATGGTGGGTACTGTCTGCCAGCCCATGGATGTGCGGCAACAACATGCCCACCCCACTGCCCACTGCCCAGAAGGCCACCACTGTGGTAGTTTTCCTTCACAGATGGGAATTACTGGGCATGGATAGGCAGAAGGCTTTGCAGGTATCAAAAGTTCCCACATGAAATGCATCTGTCCACATGTGCCTGTTATGCTTATTACATTAAATTTGAATACAGCTATGCCTTGTTGGTTTGATATTACTGGACTTTCACCAGATTTCCAGGAGGATAAATATGGAACTAAACAGGCAGCAGAAAATGTAAAAGCTTTGATAAATCGAGAGATGAAGACTGGAATTCCTTCTAGCAGAATTATTTTTAGGGGAATTTCTCAGGGTGGTACTCGTAATACACCGCTCTTACTACACAGCAGAAAATGGCCAGAAACACTGCTCACTCGGTCACTGGCTTCCACTTTGGGATTGGTTTCCACAGGATCCTATCCAGAGAGCTTACAGAGATATTTCTATTTTCCAGTGCCACAAAGATATGACCCTTTAGTTTCCCAAATGTTTGGTTCTCTCTTACTGTTGACAAACTAAAAGCATTGGTGAATCTAGCCAAACAAAATTTAAAATCTATGAAGACATGATGCACAGCTCATGTCTGCAGCAATTCATTGATTAAACTCCTACCTCCAATTGATTGACATCTCTAAGAGGCCTTGTGTAGACATCCACCAGCATCATTGTAGTAGAGTATAAACCTTTTCCCATTCCTGATCATAAAACTTCTAATGTTTACAGAGTTAAAATGTTTTACAAATATACACTAGTGATACAGACTAAATGATTTTTCCATCATAGAAAATGTAAGATCCCTTTAAGCTTCTATACCTATATTTGTATTATACAATCCAGAATGTACTAGTATTAAAATAGATGAAGTGAAGCAGCTAGCTTTTCCCCCTCAAATTAATTCAGCGATATAAAGTACCACAACCAGAGTTTTACCACAGTATTTAAAAATTACCGGTTTGCTCACTGATAATTTGTCCAGGTCTAAACAAGCTGTTAGGATGTAAGTGACTTGCTAATGCTCTGACTTAGGTGTCTAGTTGCCATGCAGTGCCTGTATTTTTATAAGTGTGCATATATATATGTGACTGTAATACTAAGAATTAGATGGTATTATGTTATACCCAATACTAGGGAGAATGCTTTTAAGTGTCAAAAAAGTAATACTGCTCTCTTCAACTAATTGCCCTTTTATTGGGGGCATCAGGCTTTTCTTTTTTCTTCTACTTAATTTTTCTACTCCCAAGAAAGAAAGAAAAATAGGTTCTTTCTTTATTGATTTTCCATAGACGACTAATATTGCCTCTCTACCACAATAAAAACCTATCAACATATACTATAATTTCACATTTTGAAACATAGACATAGGGTATTTTAAATCTAGGTAATGTGCAAAGAAACCAAATATTAATTAAGCTTATGTATTTCAAATAATGCATCTTATTCCAACATTAGATGGTAGAGTTATCAGAATTTTCAGTCCTGGTAATAATTTTGTGGTTTCATTTTTCTGTAAAAAAACTGAAAAGGTAAATAATATCTTGGCATGTTCATAAATAAATACTTAAGACCAGTCTTGAAGTCTAATTTCTAAAAGAGTTACATCTTACAGCAGAGTTTAAGTTTACATTTTCTGTACATATGTTTTGCCTGAAATCAAACACTGTTCAAGATGAGCAATCAGAAACTTTTGTTTTATCTGAAAACAAACTAATTTAAAATTTTTGTCTTAGGTAAAGGAATTTTTGAGAATTAGTATCCTGGGCAAACATTAAAATAGCTATTACTTGATTATAAATCATCAACTTGTCAAGAAAATTGGTGAAAACTATTTTAAATTAATTTGTGGATAAAAAAGAGCTGATTAGAACCATATATATAATATATATTACAATAATATATATTATATTATATGTGTGTGTGTGTGTAGTTACCACACAGTTGAATATGTTGCAAAATTATGGTTATTTCTGAACTGTTGCTTTTCCTGCTATTTTCAAACTGACCAGGACCGTTTTAAGAAACATCTTTATTAACTGATATGGAGATCATTTGGTATGAATTAGATAGGATGTTAATAATAAAGCCAAATTCTTATGTCTGGATTTAAGATAATTTCAAACAATAATTTGTTATTTTGCTTTACTTTGAAGAACAAAAATCTTACTTCAGTTATACTGTAGTAAAGTTTTACTTAGGGTAAGATATATTCCATTGAATTCCTGTGCTATGATGTGGGAAAATGTCATGTTTTTCTGTTTTTATCTATGTGAAATAAAATTGAATTCTGGAAAAATCTGTATGTGTGTGTGTGAGTGTGGGCTACAGGACACTTTTGTTTTCTGTTTTCACCTTCCATCCTGTTTGAGACAGGATTTCTTATGTTTGTTATTGTTGTTGTTGTTGCTTATGGTTGCTTACCCCAGGTTAATTGAGCAGGTTCTCTGAGGATCTTTGAACCACTGCAAATTCTTTCACACTGTCCCTGAAAACCACCATAACGGCTCTCAAGCAATTCAAACTTGAATCCTCATACCCACTTGTGCTGAGGAAGCAAATGTCAAGTTCCTTGAGTAACCTTTCTACTCCCCATGGTTAGATATCAAGGAGTCAAGAATTTGACACCATGTTTATGGTTAGAGAAAAATTCTTTATCACATTGAGTCACTGACATACGACTTCACCACAGCAAGAATTTAATGAAGCTCTCTGAAGTCTCAGGAGGGCCCTTCATGTGAAACATGGGGAATAGGACAGTGAAGCTCTCTAAAATGAACTCTCCTTGTAAAGTGTTATTTGAATCAGTTTCCTCTCTAGAGTGGGGAGAAAGAAGGCAGCAGGTTCTGGCCCTGAAACAGGACACAGCTGGCCTGAGCAGTGGGGCCTGTCCTTCCTTATACCCTGTTCATCTAAGAGTATGAAATCCTGTTTCTTCTCCTAACCTACCTCTTACCCCAGCCCTCCCCACACGTACTCATGTTCATGCTGTGACACCTCTTTGTTACTGACTCTGAAACCAGGTCTTGCTCTGTGAAGTCACCAATTCTTAAAGTAGTTCTCTCAAATGAGGGCAATTGACAAGCTCAGTAAAAGCACCCACATCACCATACTGAAATCCACTGCACAGTGCTTATCATAGCATATTTGAAGCATATTACTATACGAATAAAATTTAAAATTGCCCAACTTCAACCCATCCCATTTTATCTGATTTCTCTGTAGGAACAAGTATGCTCCCTTTTTATTTTCTTCAGTAGCTCTAGTATAACCTTGGTTCCTATCTAAGTCTGCATGCTGGCACAATCCTTTATTCCATGCAGGCTCTTCTTTCTAAACTGCTAGTATAACTCACCTGTGCCCAACTAACCTCAATACAACAGTTTTGTACACAATTGTTATTTATTAAATATCTGTCTACCAAGTGAATATGTTGAAAAGCAATGTTCAATATGTACCCAGGGATTGTCTCTTGCAATGGATTATTTATTTTAACCACACAATTGTTATGAATATGTGCTTTTATAATTATAAAAATAATTAATAGTCACTGAAAGTAAATTCATAGTAAAGAAAAAAGAAAAAAGAAAAAAAAAAGAGTAATTAGAACCAGAGAGACAGCTCAACAGATATGTCACTAAGTCACACGACATAACATCCATGTTCATGATCCACATAGTAAGAGAAGATAACTT